TATCCCTGAAATACCCTGTAGTGTAGATGTGGCTATATATCACTATAAAAGTGTTTATACCTGTGTATCTTATTCTGGTTCCCACAACCCAAGTACAAGCACAATTATAGTTGTACAGGAGTATCCACACTAGGTCTTTTTTTTACTGGCATAGCTATGTAAGTAAGAGTCACCACCCCCAAATCAACACAGTTATGCTGGTTAAACATTTAAGTGTCAACAATTGTTTTTTCCACAGGAAACTTTCTGAAAAACTTCCCATTTTCCCCTATTTCCTCCCAAAATTATTCCTCCACCTCCAACCCTCTTCTCCCCCCCCCGAACCAAACTAAAAGCTTTAAACAAACAAAAATCAAAAACTTTTACCAAAAAATGTTTTTGGTTTATAAAAAGACCCCAACCACAACAGTAAATCTGAACATTTTCACTTTGGTTCAGTTAGTGTTTTTTTTTTTAAAGCCATTTTCAAGGAGAATCTTTTCAACCAGCTCTACCCACAGCATAGTTCAGGACTTAAATGGGACCAGGAATTGGTGGCTCCGCAATTTTCAGCTGCGATAAGGTTAGCAGACCTACTGAATTGGCTCACCCGATGGACCAAGAGTGGCCTGATTTAAGAACGTGTCTACATGGGGAAACGGACTGGATTAGCTATTCTGGAATAGCTCCCTGCTATGGACACTCTATTCCGGAATCAAAGTGACTTTGCTCAAGAATAATGCGCCTCTTTGGAAGTGCGTGAATATTTCCAGAATAAAGTGACTTTTTGTTTTGGACTGGAGTTCCAACACAGGGCGCGATCCTGGAATAGAAGATATCGACTGTCTGTAATGGGCCACTCTCTTACCACTTCAAAAGTTATTTTTTCCTCCCTTGGTATCCTGCTGTTAATTGATTTATCTAGTTAGACTGACCTCACATTTGGTAAAGCAACCCCCATCCTTTCATGTATTTATACCTGCTCCTGTATTTTTCACTTCATGCATCCAATGAAGTGGGTTCTAGCCCACAAAAGCTTATGCCCAAATAAATTTGTTAGTCTCTAAGGTGCCACAAGGACTCCTCGTTGTTTTATCCTGGAATAGGCACTATGGAATAACTTCTCCTGCAACTGCTATTTCAGTCAAGCCTTAAAACTCTTCCGCTGGCACATGCGGGGACACACCCGGCCCATACAGCCACTGGCACTATCAAGTGGTTTTCTGTGCTAGTATGTGGCCATGATCCAATAATGCTAGTATTGGGCTTGTGTTTGTGTGAGACAGAATGGGAATCACCCCAGGGCCTCTCTTAACATTACTGCCTTCTAGGGTTCTCCTTTCCATTGTGTCCACTCTCTTGGATTATTTCCTCCAGGTATATTAGGTTGCATTTTTCCCCAAGATGAATCTTATTTTTTTTACCAATGTTTCTAATCTCTTCAAATCCTTTGGGATTATCTTTCTGTTGCAACTGGTGTCTGCAACTCTGTTCCCTTTAGCCTCCTCTGTGAATTTCATTAAAGCTGGCTTTGCTCCCTCTTCCAGATCACCAATGAAGAAGTTAAATAAAAGCAGACTGAATCCAGATCCTTGCGGTACCCCACTAGGCACTTTCCTCAGTGAGACACGTTACCATTTATCTTTACCCTATCTTTGGGGGCAATTTTCAATCTGCCTGACAGTGTTTTCCTACCCAAACCAAACTGAATTATTTTTGAGCCTAAAATTTCAGGAGACAGTATCAAATCCTTTACTAAGTTCCAAATACATTACAGCTGCTGTGTATGCCACTCACCCCACAACTTTGTAATTCTGTCATCCCACTCCCATCCCTGCCCCAAGCTATCTAGTTTGTCTGGCAGGATTTGTTCTCTACAAAATTGTGCTACTTACTAGTAATGTAGGAATGCCATGCTGGATCAGACTAGTGGTCCAACTAGTCTAATAGTTTGACAGTCTCCAGTACCAGATACTTCAGAGGAAGGTGCAAGAAACCTGGCGGTGATGAAATAACCTGCTTATAGGGACAGCTTCTTCCTAGCGCGCCCCGCCCCCCCCTTAGATGTTGGCTTACATCCTGAAGCAGGAAGGTTTATATCCCTTCCGAAACATTGGGCATAACATTTTCAAAGTCACTCTAGTGACTTAGGGGCCTACATCACTTAACCACTTCTGGAAATGTTGCCTTTGATTTTTATTTTTTTCCTTCCCCAATCCTTACTAGTTCTGGATGGTCTCATTACTGACCTAAATGTCTGATCCTTTTAACCTCAATGATATTCTGTGTCAATGAGTTACACAAACTAAATGTGCACTTTATGTAAAATGTTGTGGATTTCTTTTTAGTTTTAAATGTATTTGTGATAGGGGTGTCCACCCCCCACAAAGCCTGAGTAGGCTAAAAAGGATCAATTAACCTTCTAGGCTGCAGCTGGAGGAGAGTCAGGGCTGCTAGATCTAACTGATGATGCCCAGCTGGGCAGAGGCAGGCTATGCTTGTATCAAGCTAGCAAGGTGAGAGCAAGAGGGGGCTGTAGGCAGGAGCTCAGCAGTCGCTCCATGGAGAGAAGGGGAGTTTAGATAGGGATAAGGAGGCATTCTAGGGGGAAGAGTATGCCCTGGGATCCTGCCCTGGTCTACAAGAGTCTGGCAATAAGCCGAGAGGAGTGAAGTAGCTTCTGAGAGTGGAGGAGGCTCTGGCTGGTAAAGATAGAAGTGTGCCAGGAGATAGAGATGTGAGGTAGGAAGGAGCCCAGGGAAATAGCAACATGGTATGAGATTAAGTGGACTGTGGTTGCTAGGCATAGGGTCCCTGGGCTGGAACTCAGAGTGGTGGGTGGGCCGGGGTTCCCCTGCCAGTCACTGGGAAAGTGGCACTGGACCTGGACTTAGACCAGACAACTGCCTGATACAACATACGGACGCCTTGCTGAACCCCTGGTCGGGGAGGACCAAATAGTGATCTGGCTGGAGTCATGAAGAGGGAACAGCTTGAGTCCCAGAGTGAGAGAGGGGCCACAGTGCGAGGAACCGACAGAAGGGGGTACCAGACCAGGCGAGAGCTAATCCTCAGGCCCAGTGGTGAGTGAAACCTGTCAATGTTGCTTTTCAGTTTCATTGAATGCGATGTTGCTCCAGGTTCTGCTACCTTCTATCTGTCAAGTGACTTATTCATTGTTTTACTAGGCCACATAGAGATGGGAAACTATTGTTTTTACATCTGTAATTTTCCAGTCTCCTAGTGTTTTGAGTTCATGGATTTTTTTTTAAAGTGGTACAGTGTTTGTTAGCTAATTCCCTTAATAACCTGGGGAAATATAATCTGAACAACTCCAGAAAAGGGGAAATTCCTTTTTCCTACCCAAACCAAATTTTCCCTTTTGATTTTTATTTTTTACTTCCCCCAATCCTTACTAGTTCTGGATGTTCTCATTACTGACATAAATGTCAGGTTTCAGAGTAGCAGCCGTGTTAGTCTGTATCCGCAAAAAGAAGAACAGGAGTACTTGTGGCACCTTAGAGACT